GTAATTATGGGTTAAATATGCTGTAAAAAAAAGAAAAAATACAATAGTTGGCAGCCTACAGGCTGTTTATTTCGTACTAAAAACAAAAAATTTTTTGTTAAATAAATTCAAATTAGATGCCAATAGTCTCTTAATTTATTTAAAATTATTTACTTTAATAATTTCTTTTTTTTCTGTAAAGTTCACAACAGAAGATCTCCATTGCAATCATCATCGATGCGGTTCTAAAACAATACATTTCTCTATTGATTACTATATATTTTTTATTTTTATCCTACATTTCCTTTTATTTTTTCGAAATCACGGACACAGAGAGTCACGACCTCAAATATATTTATATATACATATATATATTTTCGTGAAAATATCGAGACAAAGAGAACTGACTTGGAAATAAGCCAAAAAATCCAACCAGGAACGGGTCTTACTTAATTCTCGGAACCTAGAGTTGCACTGTCCGATAGATGGCGTTAACCTGGTCCTGACAAGGACACAGTGTCCCTCGGTCACGTGAATCACGTCCTGTCACCTACAGTACCATCACCTAGGCAACAGTACCGACACAAACTGGTGGATCCTTCGTAGAAAGGGGACGATGCCCCTACGAACAATTGAAAATCTTCGCCGTGTATCTCCATTTTGAATCTTAATTACGTTGTTGGTATGTGGCGAAATGTATATGGAATCGACTAAAAGACGACTCGGCGAAGGGGGGAGAGGGGAGAAAATAAAAACTACTTTTCTGATTGGCGAGCGATATAAAAGCTATTCCTATTCGGCCGGTCGCTAAACAAACTGGCCAGGCTTTGCAAAGCGCCATTCACAAGCTTCTGTTACTTAATAACGAATTTTGTAAACTAGGACACATCAATTAGCAATTGGTAGAAGCATACAGTCGCATGTTTATTAATATAAATGATTTAAATTTTCGAATTTGATTGATAACTTATCAAAAAAACCACAGCACCAAGCTTTTCTTCATTTTCCAGTTAAAAATTCGTTAAAATGTACCATTTAAAGTTATTTTTTTAAAGGATTTCTTTGACATAACCTTGGATTTTTACGTATTTATCAAGAATATTTTAGAAATTTTCAAACATGTTAAGAAACAACTCTAATTCCTGAAGCACCCTCGATCCTCCGATCCTCCAAGACCTATAGATATCCATTACTTTGCAGGAAGGAATATCTACACAAATTCCAATAATACTTTTCCACCTTTTTCGTTTATCACGAGCATTTTTATTTGCCGTAACGAGTTTACGCAATTAGTTTCGAAAATTATGTAAAATTTTATTTGAAGAACCATCAAACTTTCTTCCTGTTCGACCGACGTGTCGGTCACTCCCAGTAGCCCGTCTAAGTACTTAAAAAGTTGTTTAATGATGACAGCGACGTGTCTGGGTGACTAAAGGATGTGAAAATTCAGGAAATAAAACAAATTATTCAGTGCCAGAAGAGAAGAGCGCTGTTTCGAGAATCCTCACTCATTAAAAATTTCAAAAATGGCCAAAGAATAACCTAAACTTGAGGGCGACCCGTGAATGCAAAGAGCGAGCCAAATGCCTTTCCCGTCCTCCCCTCATCTTTGTTAGCCATTAAACGTGTATCTTAGAAAATGGGGAGATGCCAGACAATACGGAAATGGAACAGTCGTTTCCGTGTTTCGGAATCCATTCTCCTCAATGAGAAATTGTGAAAAGTTGATTCGCTTTAAACGCGAAATATGAAAGTAATCGAAAGTTACGCCAACGATGGCGTCACAACTGACCCTAATCGCAATTTGACTCGCGGTGAGACTCGTCTGACGTCACAACTGACGCAATAATAGAGCGCTTATCGTGTTTTCTCTAGCAATTAGCGTTGAAGTTTATGAATAAATCTCAATTATTTTGCTAAATAATTAGCGTTTAAACGGAGATTTCTAAATTAAGTAATATTGAATGAAAGGGAATAGAATGAAGAAGGTAACAACAATGCATAAAACAGACTAATTTTTCAGCCAAAACTGTCAAGAATGTCTCCACATTGATACTTTAAATAAATATTACGATCGCTCTAGTTTACAAAGTAAGTGGGTTATATTTTAAGTAGTTAACAGTATCCTACACTTCTAGAGTTTTTCTGAATGTCGTCTAGATCTGTCCATAAAGCTCTTAAATTTGGCAAAGTGTACGGTTATCTGACACAAACCATAAATTATCTGCTCCATTTCTGGGCTTATTACTTTTCTATTCTGAGGTATAGTATTTCAAATTTATAGTAAAACATCAGGCCCATTATCGTCCATAGAGGAGACAGGGAGGACACATCAGGAGAGCCATTACATTAGAAGGCCCGTAATCTCAGGGGAGCATGATGCCAAGAGATTCGTGGTCTCATAGGGCTGCGATGCCAAGAGATTCGTGGTCTCATAGGGCTGCGATGCCAAGAGATTCGTGGTCTCATAGGGCTGCGATGCCAAGAGTTCGTGGTCTCATAGGGCTACGATGCCAAGAGATTCGTTGTCTCATAGGGCTACGATGCCAAGAGATTCGTTGTCTCATAGAGCTACGATGCCAAGAGATTCGTTGTCTCATAGGGCTACGATGCCAAGAGATTCGTGGTCTTATAGCGCCCGTGATATCAGGAAGATCTTGGTTTCATAGAGTCTTTAATAAGAGAAAAACTTCACGGGCCCTGAATTACGAGTCTCCACAATAGGATCAAAATATGTCAGGTGAACCGTAATTCATAAGGGCAACTCTAATTATTTATCAATTGTTAAACGGTACTATCTTGCTTTCAATGCGCATCTTTTATTTAAGAAGCCACGTTCTTCCATTTACAATTATCATTTTTTTTTTTTTTTTTTAGCATTTCATAAGGAAATCAGCAGCATAGGAATCAAATTTTAAAACCTTGTATAGTCTACAAATAAATATTTAAAATCTAATCAGCAATGAGTTGAGTAACTTTTCCGGTTAAAAAGTTAAACTTGATAGTGGCGACATCTGTTACGAGATTTATTTTAAAACATTTTATATTATAAATTGTTATAAAATAGCAAAGAGCTTAATTTTGAGGGTAGAGACGAGTTTTATTTTAAAATAATAATAATAAATAAAGGCTAATACGAGTAAAATCTTTATTAAGTCCGACCCCATTCCAGATACGACACGTGACCTCTATCTATCTCCCCCTCCTCCGCGACCTTTGACCTCCAAAATTTAACAGCATCAATTCCACTAATACACAAATCTCCCTGCAAAATTTCAGAAATTTTCGACAAAAATCACAGGAGTAATTAAGCTTCAAAGTGGGTGAACAAGATCGTGTCCTCCCCCCACACACACAGACAGACAGCCACAAACATCCAAACACGCAGAAAAAACCTCCCAAACTTTTATATTTCTCGATTTTTCAAGGTCCCCCGAGTTCAAAAATGTAAAAATCTTGGGGGCCATTTTTTGACCTATCGCCATACTTTCGCTCTTTTATGTATAACAGGTGATACAGTATCGAGTTGAAGACAATAGAAATTTAATTAAATAAATAAAAAATAAAACCACCAGAGATAAATCAAATTGTTTAAGATTTTAAGTGTGATAAACGCAGGGCCACGGGCGAGTGGGGCACTGGCCAGGGGTCCCCGAAAGCGAGGGGCCCCAGGCGCGACGCGTCAAAAAAAACAAAATGAATTACACACGATAATAAAAAAAAATATAATGAACATTCTTGTGTAGTTTTCTTGTTACTCAGTTTGGTATCTATTTGATTTTTTTATATGCTGTTGATATTCAAAATTCTAATAGAATTAAAATGTTATACAATGTAAGATTGATTGGGACTTTGAAATCCTAGCTCACCATAGACACTGTTTTGAAAATATTTGAAAATAAATTCTTGATAAACATTTAATATTATGGAATGATGATAAGTCTTTTTTGTCACTTAGGATGATTTTAAAAGTTAATTGAATCCCAGATAAAATAATATATATAAACATACAAATCAAAAAGTTGATTATTAATTAAAGCCAAACCAAACAAATCATGTACTGTTGAGCTAATTTCAAGAATTTGATTTGAAATAATTTGACAAGAGATAGGTAGTTATGCCATCATCACATGATAATTTTAATAATTATAATAAATTTAATTTAGAATTGTTGGAAGAAAATAATTTCCTGGAGTAGAACTTGAAACAAAATTCCTCCTTACTGTATAGATGAACAATTTTATATATATCAATATATATAAAATCATTCATCTATTCAGAGTTAAACCATGTTTTGTAACTGGTGATACAAATGGGAAGGTGGTGATTCTACTTGACATACTGAATTGAAAACAGAGTAAAATTTTTTCTTGTGAGGATTTGTTTCTAAGAAAAATGTCTTTGAAAGTTTATCAAGTACATGATAAAGATTCAATTCATCAGATGTGACTCCCATGTTAACAAATTGGTTCAAAAGAACTGTGTTTTATGAGAGTTCACTCTGCTCTCTGAATAACTCTCCTAGTGAGATATTGAAGATTAGGATATCTGTATTTTGTAATAATTAGCAGCAGCAGAAGCACTGCTGTCACATGCACTCAGCACATTTTAATTGCTGTATGTAGTCATATTGGCACTATGATAGAAACTAAGAATTTGATTGCAAAAGCATAAGAGAAGAATAAGAATGATATAAAAAAACATAACATCAACAATGTATGCAAATATATCAAGTAACAGAATTGCTTTCAAAACACTCAATAATAAAAATAGCATACAGAAACATCCATTAAGTTGAATCTTGATCATTCATACTTGATAAACTTTCAAAGCTATTTTTCTTGGAAACAAAGCCTCGTGAAAAATTTTATTCTATATTTTCAATTCAGTATTTCATTTAGAATTGTCACCTGCCCATTTATACACCAGTTACATGACATCCTATATATATATATATATATATGTATATAATATTTTTGTGTATTATTTTATGGGGTTTAAGTACAGTTTAATATAATAATAAAATTAACTATTAGAGAGGAAAATTCCGTCCTTGTCTCATGGACTTGGTGCGCATAAATACAGAAACTGCAGTATTGAAGGCAAGCAAGAAAGCTTTCAGAAAAGTTCCAAATATCACTAAAGCTATAAATGCACTTACTTGTTTAAAAGGTATTGGTCCTGCATCTGCATCGGGTAAGTTTTTCATTACAAATTATTTAATAAATAATTGAAATTTACACTTTCAGTTCTGAAAAAATAAATTTTTATATTGAATTTTTTTTTTTCCTCCATACATTAGCAATTCTAGCAGCTGGTTATCCGGAACATGCTCCATTCATGGCTGATGAAAGTATGTTGTCTACTCCAGGAATTGAAACTACAGATTATACTTTAGCAGAATATGTGAACTATACTGCACAAATAAAAGCATGTAGTGATCGTTTAAATGAGCATGGTATAAATATTCAAGATTGTTCTCTTAAACAGAAATAAATAGATTTATTTGAAATCTAATTTTATTTAATTTCCAGATAAAGAAACCAAGTGGACTCCTCATAAAGTAGAATTGGCACTGTGGACACATTTCTTGGCAAGAGAGCTGAAACCATCTATTCTCGATGATTTACCTAAATATGATGAAGATGCAACTCCAAACGGAAAGTCAAGCAGCAATCATTCAGATAAAGACAAATCTGTACGTGATGCATTGAAACAATTGGATCAAGATGATTCTTCAAATGAACCCGTTGATAAAAACATCTACAATGCACACTTGAATATTGGCGAAGATAGTGAGGTATCCAATAGTAGTTTGGAGGCCACTGATGAACCCCCAAGTAAAAAGCCTTGCATTTAGCCTTAATTGTAGCCTCTGTACCCTCTTCACTTTTTATCAAGGTACATAAAATTCATGTAAAGGAAAACGAAACAAACTCCTATTTTTCTATCTTATTCATCTTTATTTTATTGCAGGTATTTGAATTTACATACCATTGCTATAGAACAATGATTCATATCGTTCACAATATTTAGGAATTTTTGTCATGCAACAAGTGAAGGTGCAGATTTCATATAGTGTATCTTATTTCTTTTTTTGCACAAAATCCTCTTAGCTATTGATGCAAAAAGAAAAAAAAAATTATATCTATATCTATATACACAGACACACACACACACCACACTAGCATGCATATTNATTTAGCGCCAATTTCGGCACTAAATCGAGGTTTGAGTGTGAGAAATTTTTGCAAACACACACACAAAAAAAAATAAAATAATAATGAATAATAATTTAATTATTTAGCATGACACGTTGTTTAAGAGGTGACGGAAAATCGCATCTTAACGATTATTTCCGAATAGCGGATGATACAACGAACCTTTCACGATTACGTTCGACCATTTTACTCAATCCACACGAAGAAAAAAAAATTTCTGTTTGTCATTAAAAAACGCAGTTAAATAAGAATGCAATTTCATATATAAAAAAAAAAAAAAATAATAATAATAATAAATTAGAATGAAGATCGACACCCGCGGTGAGAAGTTTAAAAAAAAAAAGGGGAACGATTCGTTGTGGTAATGCCCGCAATTACGTCAACCTGACGTCACGCATCCCATGTTTATTAATAACAAACATGAAAATTATGTCAAGTGACGTCAGAGTTGTATACTTTCTCAACAAAACGAATTGACCTCAAAATAGGTGTGTGTATGTTCCTCGGTGTGACGTCAAAGCAATGTGTGTGATTGGACGAATTTGAAAATTTGAATATATTAAAACATTTAATTATTATATTCTGAGTTAAACTATTATTATTATATATTAATTAGTCTGTAAATGTACAGAACACAGTACAATTTTTACTTTTTTAGTAAAGGAATTAATAAAATTACGCTTCTGTTTTGAATACCACTCAATTTAAATACGTGGATCTTGAGCTTGTGGATTGTTCCTACTCTTCAACACGAGCAAATGAATCATCCCTACTCTAAAGCTTGCTTATAAGACTAAAACAACGATCCACATGATTTGCATTTATTATTTTATATAAGTAATATAAAGCAATATTCACAAATTTATCATTAAAAAATATAGTGAATTAGCTACATTCTCAAGCAGAAGGTAACACGAATTACACGTATACTTCCTATTATTTAAAAAATATAAATACGTAGATCATTAAGGATCCTTAGCTTAAATACTCGCATATTTAAGCTAAGGATCCACGTGCTTATTGTGTGTTCAATTTGCCATCTTCATGCTCAAGCTAATTTACATCATGGACATAAATTATTTTCGATTATTTTTAGTAAATTATCATGACCTTTCAACTTTAAAGCCATAAAATAATCAAGAAAATTGTTATATAAACCAAAGGAGCATTTATAAATTCACTCACTAATAACATTAGAATTTTAATACAGCTTTTCTATCTATTTATATAAGGCTATAAATTACACTAGTATATATAGGCCTTATATATATATATAAACAATTGATTTACTTAAAAAGAGTGATTTCAAGCTNTTATATATAAATTAAAACCTGTCCAAAACGGTAGCTTAATAAAATGCAAACCTGCCTAAAAGGAAAAATTCTTAGAAACGCAGCTATTTTCTGTGTTTAAGAAAGACCTGTTTAAAACGGAAACCTGCCAAACCGCAAAAAAATATTCGGTACAGTATTACTCCGGTTTACACAGGTTTAAGTCAATATATGTACAGAAAAACTCGTGTAAACGGTACCAAATATTTTTTCGGTTTGGCAGGTTTCCGTTTTGGGCAGGTTTTACAGTGTATATGTGCTACACAGTTCAATTTAACAGCACCAAATTTGACACGAATATTCTACGACACCCCCCAGTGAAAACCACAGTAGAAAAGATGCCGTGTTGGCCCTCCTTCCTGAAGTCCACCCCTTTTAACTTCAAACGCGAGCAATTCTTTTTATGTTTTGAAGATTCTTTATTGTACTCGGGTCAATAAGTATACATTTTAGTTACTAGGACCCTCTCTTAACCCAACCTCAGGTATGGGGATCAAAAAGACTAATTTTTCAGCCTTTTTTTTTAATAAAATTTAAATAGATTTTTACAATTTTTAAATAAAAATTCAGAGGGAAAAATCCTGAATTTTAAATAAATTTGCTTCTCTTTTTCTAAAAATAATAATTATTATTATTAATCAGAAAAAAAACTTTCTAATTTACAATTAAACAAAATTAACTTCCTAAGCGTGCGTTAAGTCACAAGGCAAAGTTTCTCATTGCCTTGTGACGTAACGCACCACCTCCCACGAAACAACTGATTTTCCACTTCACCTTTTGGGAATTTCTTAAAATTTATCAATTTTTTTTTATGCTATTTACAGGAACGTTTGTTAAAGTTTTCACCTTTTATAGATCTCATCTTCCTTGTTTATTATCTTACCTTGTACAACTATAATTTACAGCATCACAGGAGGAAATTATAATTGTAATTTATGAATAATAAAATATATATATATGTAAATTTTATGTAAAAAAAACAGAGTTAACATTATCAATTATTTTAGAATAAACCGAACCGTATAGCGTTATATCAGGTATGGGGATCAAAAAGACTAATTTTTCAGCCAAAACTGTCAAGAATGTCTCCACATTGATACTTTAAATAAATATTACGATCGCTCTAGTTTACAAAGTAAGTGGGTTATATTTTAAGTAGTTAACAGTATCCTACACTTCTAGAGTTTTTCTGAATGTCGTCTAGATCTGTCCATAAAGCTCTTAAATTTGGCAAAGTGTACGGTTATCTGACACAAACCATAAATTATCTGCTCCATTTCTGGGCTTATTACTTTTCTATTCTGAGGTATAGTATTTCAAATTTATAGTAAAACATCAGGCCCATTATCGTCCATAGAGGAGACAGGGAGGACACGTCAGGAGAGCCATTACATTAGAAGGCCCGTAATCTCAGGGGAGCATGATGCCAAGAGATTCGTGGTCTCATAGGGCTGCGATGCCAAGAGATTCGTGGTCTCATAGGGCTGCGATGCCAAGAGATTCGTGGTCTCATAGGGCTGCGATGCCAAGAGATTCGTGGTCTCATAGGGCTGCGATGCCAAGAGATTCGTGGTCTCATAGGGCTGCGATGCCAAGAGATTCGTGGTCTCATAGGGCTGCGATGCCAAGAGATTCGTGGTCTCATAGGGCTGCGATGCCAAGAGATTCGTGGTCTCATAGGGCTGCGATGCCAAGAGATTCGTGGTCTCATAGGGCTGCGATGCCAAGAGATTCGTGGTCTCATAGGGCTGCGATGCCAAGAGATTCGTGGTCTCATAGGGCTGCGATGCCAAGAGATTCGTGGTCTCATAGGGCTGCGATGCCAAGAGATTCGTGGTCTCATAGGGCTGCGATGCCAAGAGATTCGTGGTCTCATAGGGCTGCGATGCCAAGAGATTCGTGGTCTCATAGGGCTGCGATGCCAAGAGATTCGTGGTCTCATAGGGCTGCGATGCCAAGAGATTCGTGGTCTCATAGGGCTGCGATGCCAAGAGATTCGTGGTCTCATAGGGCTGCGATGCCAAGAGATTCGTGGTCTCATAGGGCTGCGATGCCAAGAGATTCGTGGTCTCATAGGGCTGCGATGCCAAGAGATTCGTGGTCTCATAGGGCTGCGATGCCAAGAGATTCGTGGTCTCATAGGGCTGCGATGCCAAGAGATTCGTGGTCTCATAGGGCTGCGATGCCAAGAGATTCGTGGTCTCATAGGGCTGCGATGCCAAGAGATTCGTGGTCTCATAGGGCTGCGATGCCAAGAGATTCGTGGTCTCATAGGGCTGCGATGCCAAGAGATTCGTGGTCTCATAGGGCTGCGATGCCAAGAGATTCGTGGTCTCATAGGGCTGCGATGCCAAGAGATTCGTGGTCTCATAGGGCTGCGATGCCAAGAGATTCGTGGTCTCATAGGGCTGCGATGCCAAGAGATTCGTGGTCTCATAGGGCTGCGATGCCAAGAGATTCGTGGTCTCATAGGGCTGCGATGCCAAGAGATTCGTGGTCTCATAGGGCTGCGATGCCAAGAGATTCGTGGTCTCATAGGGCTGCGATGCCAAGAGATTCGTGGTCTCATAGGGCTGCGATGCCAAGAGATTCGTGGTCTCATAGGGCTGCGATGCCAAGAGATTCGTGGTCTCATAGGGCTGCGATGCCAAGAGATTCGTGGTCTCATAGGGCTGCGATGCCAAGAGATTCGTGGTCTCATAGGGCTGCGATGCCAAGAGATTCGTGGTCTCATAGGGCTGCGATGCCAAGAGATTCGTGGTCTCATAGGGCTGCGATGCCAAGAGATTCGTGGTCTCATAGGGCTGCGATGCCAANAAAAAAAAAAAAAACACTATAAATTATTATCTATAAAAGTGATGTTTTCTTTTTAACATTAAATATGGAGCTTGCATACAAAAATTAGCCTAAAATAATATAAACAATTAACAGTTTTCTACTTATCCCACTTATCTGGATAAAATTATTCAACAGATTTTTAATCAGATTAGAATTTTAAGCTGGTTAAATTATTTAATTTGCGTCGTAATTTTTTCGATTATATCGATTATTCGACGATATTAAACAAGAAAATTCTGTTTTGTTTAAGAAAAAGGAAACAAACAAAAAGATTTCTTTAGTATTTTCATTTGTTCTTGCATTTAAAAAAAAAAAAAAAAGTCTATTTTATTATGTAAAATAATACAAAAATAAGGATGTAAAACTGGCGAATTAACAGTGGAAACTGTCAGAAATTTATTATTAAAACGTAAATATTACTTGCATAAATAAAGCAATTATTATTTAAGTAACATTACCGATAACGCAACCATCCAGCTTATGTAAACTACTACAGATTATATATATATTTTTTTATATTTAAAAATAAAATCAGTAATTAAAAATTAATACTAAACATCGTTAATTAAAACTCGAAATTTAAGCACGTGAAACGGGGTGAAAAGGTGAAAACGGAGTGAAGCACGAGTGAAGAAACGGTGAAGCAGGAGTGAGAGGGGATGAAGGAGTGAAGGGGCTAATACAGAAGTGAAGAAGGGAGAAGCAGGAGTGAAGAAGCGATATAGAGGGGGTGAAGAGGGAGTTAACCACTTCTTCGTCCCATCTTCAGCCCGCTTCACTTCTGCTTTAGCCCCTCTTC